GGTCTCGAACTCACAGAGATCCGCCTGCCTCTGCCTCCCAAGTGCTGGGATTAAAGGTGTGCGCCACCACCGCCCAGCCAGTATCACTTTCTATAACTCCTATAACATCAGCCAAAAATAAATCCTCTTTTCCTGATTTATGTCACAGATTAAAACTCAGGCAGTCAAAATTTTCTGTTTGTCATGAAGTCTGAGAGAATAGTGCAAAGACTTGGTGAAAGTTTGAGGCTAGTAGAAGTGGATGCTCTCAGTGAGAATCCAAGTGACTAAGTAGCTTTATTCCCAGAAACTCTAGAAATCATGTAAAAGGCTTCTTACTGGCAAATCCAAAGGATACTACTTTGGGGTTTCTAGCTGCAGTATAGTTTTATAGGAGGGATATACTTGGAGTTGTTTTCCTACATCTTAACACTTTCCTTTCAGTTAGTACTGGATTAAGATATTAAATTACTCCTTTGCCTCTGCTAAGAAATTTAACTCATGAGTCTTTCATGAGTTATCTCTTGATGCGCTGAATCTTTTGCTTTGCTTTCACTATTGCCTCTTCCTCAGATATCTAGAAAGTAGTTCTTCAGCTGCAGAATGATTTGAAGGCTGCCTATGTCAGCAACAGAGTCCCCTTCAGTTGCCAAGATAACCACCATGTTTATTCAGCTTTCTCCAAGTGCTAGTTACCCGTGTCTGTCACAAGACACTAAATACTGCACTAAGAGCATTAATGACATAGGACACTAACATTGCATCCCAGAATGCATCCTCTACAGACATTACAAATCTAGAGTTGGTTTTATGCCACCTTTACACAGGATATATCTAGAGTACATCTGACAAGAGAAACTTTAATAGAGAAATGTCTCCGTTAGATTATCTGCAGGCAAGTTTGTAGTGCATTTTCTTGATTAGTGGTTGATATGAGGGGGTGGCAGCCCAGGGCAGATGGTTCAATCCCTGGGTAGATGGTCCTAAATTGTATTAGAAAGCAGGCTGAGCAAGTCACAAGAAGCAAGTCAGTAAGCAGCATTCCTCTTGGCTTCTAGTTCAGTTCCTGCCTAGAGTACCTACTCTGACTCCCCTCAGTGATGGGACTGTGGCCTGAGTTGTAAGATAAAATAAATCCTTAAATTCCCAAGTTGTTTTCGATTATGGTATCTTATCACAGCAATATAAACTCTAATTAAGGCATTTAATTTAATTATCTGGCTGTACCATAACAGAAACACCTGCTTATGTGGGTTTAGGTATAATCACATAGCTAAACCCACTTTTGTAGGTTTTGGTATACTCAAATTGAACACACACAGAGTAAACTAAATGCAAACTCAATGAAAACTTTATTTAAAATTTTTGTTTGTTATGTTTTTGTGATGAAGCAAGGCCTTCCTGGATTGACACAGACTGAATGAGACAAAACATGTAGAAATAAAAAATTACCAGTTGTCATAATTTTACCAGCAAACAATCAAACAAACCATGCAAGCAAATGTTATAGATTCCACTTATCAATAGTGATAAATTTTTGTGCTAACTGAAACAACACAATTCTCCACAACAGCTGAGCTATACAGACTTCCACAGATATCATAATTAGAACAAATAAATAAAAGAAGTGTACTCTAGCAAGGATGAACACATGAGGTTCACATTTTAAAACATTGTGAATCATATATGTGCTAAATGCAGAGCAATGTACTTTGAGCACACCCCCTAAAGTGTTTTCAGTAGGTATGTATGTACTTTATACTCTCACTTCAAAGAAATGTTTCAATTAGGAACATTTTTTAGGGACAAAACAAAAGAGAAATAAAATTAAGATGAAATTGATATTATATTCTTCATATACTAAACCATAAATAGGTAATTTATGTATTTTTAGCATTTGCCTCCTAAATTGTGATACTGTTGTAGAAATTTCTTATAAATGAACACAAACAGTATTAGATTTCCTATGGCATCTTCAAACAAAATTTGTCAGTTCTCCCTTCTCTTACTCTTCCATAAAACACTTCTTCCTCAACAGGTCTTTTGTCTCTTCTTGAAATAGATCTCCTTTCATTAGAAAGGCTATCCCTATATTCATAACCTCCTCCCATATAATGTATACGTATAGACAGTATAAACTAGGATCTTAAAGGAGAGAGAACATGCATTTTTATCTTTCTGAGTCTTAGTCACCTTGCTTAATATAATACTTTCCAAATAATATCCACTTTCTTTAGACACAACAATTAATTAACACAGAATAAAATTATTTAGACATTAAGTTATACTGTACAGTATATACATATAAACAAATTTAAGAAAGTAATGATGAAATCCTAAAGATTAAATTATCTGTGGAACTTAGAACACTTTGAAATACTAGCTTATGATAGCATATACATTGTATCCAACAGACAGTAACTCTAGATGGCACAAGAAAATGAAAGGTGTAGTTATATTTTTATGTATTTTAATAAATAAAGCTTACCTGAAGATCAGAGTGCAAAGCTAAGCCATATAGCTCAGGGAGTAGTGGCACACACCTTTAATCCCAGTGTTTGGGAGTCACATTTCTTTAATCCTAGCACTAGGGAGGTGGAAAAAGGAATGATATGGCTGGGCGGAGAGAGGAATATAAAGGGGGAAAGACAGGAACTCACTGGAGTGTGGAGTCTGAGGTTTGGTTGAGACATAGTGCTACCTCTACATAGGATCACCCCTTCGATATGAGAATTGGTAAAGGTAAAAGGGCTCTCTAGTGGTTTACTGCTCTGCGTCTTTGATCTTCAGCTTTAACCCCTATATCTGTCTTAGAGTTTTTATTAGTCATGCTACAGAAAGGCAGAAATTTCTAATTTGTTCAAACTAAATTGATGGGTTTGAAACACTGTTCTTCAGGCTATGACCACAAAAAGAGGAAATGGGAGGGGGAATGAGAGATGATAATACAACAATTAGGTAACCTATTTCTTCAGTCTTCATCATAATTCTGTCTCAGAAAATATTTTTAAAACTGGAAACATACTAAAAAGGAAAGTCATTATGAATTAAATCTATGAAACAGAGAAGGGACAACAAGGACCATATTACACAGACTATATGATTTGAAATGAAAACCTTTAATTCGTAAAAGATAAAAAGACAAGCAAAAATAATTAAGGAGTAGATTAGCATATATACATACTGACATACACACATGTAGGAACAGTTAGTAATATGAAGTTGCATATAGGTATTTCCACCTAATTATAAGGCTCAACAAATCTTTAGGATATACTGAAAAAGATAAAAAAGACCACAGAAAAGAAAAAGGAAACTAATGAATAAATATGGAAAACAAGTTCATCTACAAAAATCAAGGTATAGATTAAAAAGAGGATAACCTTTTATTCATAGTGTTACTCAATTAAAATAAATGTGGACTCTCCTACACCAAGGCTGACCACTTCAATCAGCATAGGTACTTGAGAAATCAATTAGCAACATAAGAAAAGCAGCAACTACGGTCTGAGAATAGAATTCTAAAGGAATAAAGTGCAATAAAGAAACTCGATTATTTAATTATATGAAGAAAAAACTATGGAATAGGTACACAGTGAAAAAAACAGTACAGGGACAAATTGTAATTATTTAAAAATGTAAAGGTAGTTTTAAAGTTTACTATACTGATTAGTATTTACTAACTAAGCTATAAACAAGGATCATGTTATACATTTTTCTAAAGTTAATCTAACAAGATTGATTTTAAGTTATGTAAGGGCAAGAAATACTAAATCTATTGAAAACATAGTTGAATATAATATATTAATCATTATGATATTAAATAAAGGGAATGATCATAGATCTGCAAAGTAAGTGTTTTACTTGGAATACCCGAGGATATGTATGCAAATATTAATAAGGTTGTATAAACGTAGCACAATACTGTACTCCTTTTTTCCTGTTATTTTTATTATAGAATTAAATTAAATATAATTAAGTACACAACTCCTATCACAGTACAGTATGAATCTGAAATAGCAACTTACCTCTTGTTCATCCATATTCAACCACTGTTTTGGGTCCTCTTCAGTAGCCAGAAAAGCTATCAACTCTAAAGCAGTAAGTCGAGTTTGACGTCTTGATGAGACAAATATCAAAACAGGCTTGGCTGGAGAATGACTTCTAATTGCTGTGGAAAGTTGTGGGAATGAAATATTAAGCCACTTAACAGATGTACATGAAATCCAATATAGTTCATGTAAATTCTTAATTTGGTCAGGAAATTAATTATTATTTCAAGTAGTAGAGGAGTCTGACAGGACACTGGGAAAAATGACAGGAAAGGGAAGATGCTGACCACAGTTCTACAGAACACTGCCTAGCACAGGGAAGTTACTCATCACACCCAAGGTCATGCCAAGGAAGGAGGCACTAAAATGCTGAGATTCTTCACTAAGCTATACATAGACATAGAGTCTTACTTTGAGTTCTCTCTATTCTCCAGTTTGTTTCCAAGACACTGCTGCTTGTCTAAGTGATATGAGAGGTAAACAGTCTGAGATCTAAAGAGTTCAAGCAAGCTCTGACAAATTATTAAAAACCCCAAGAAACAACAACAACGACAACACACACACACATACACACACACACACACTTCTACTATTACTGTTATCAGTAGATTAAAAATTAAGATAAAATAAATAACTGATAAATGAGAAGAAAGTTTCCTCTGACTTCTGAAATACATGTGTGAGGCTTCAAAGGAGGAGAGTACATTAGAGATTAAGTGCCTGATGTGTATCTGAGAAGGGCATGGCAACTCGGCACACAGAAGAAAAGGGCACTTCGAAGCCTTTGTACCAACAATAATGAAAGAATAATTACATTTTTAAAGAAATACTTAATGTGGCACATAAACCATCTGGATTGCCTGCAAGTGAGATTTGTTTATTTTAAAACAGTAGCAAAATGGCAGAAGAAGAATTGTTACTTAAGCAGCTCTTTCAAAGCAGTGAGAGGGTTGAAGGCAGGGAAGAAAATCACTAAAACTAACTTTATTCAACATGTTACAATGATGTGTAACACCTTATAAGCTAATTAAAGAATTAAAATCAATACATTTAACATTTTGTAAGAAAAAGTTCCCCCCTGTTTAGATTTCTTCTTTGAACTATGAGCTGCAGAACCTGTTCCACAGGCCAAAAACCAGTTTTCAAATGGAAATGTAAACATGTACTTGACTATATACCACAACAGAAGTTAGGCTAGCACAAATCAGTTTTCAAATGGAAATGTAAACATGTACTTGACTATATACCACAACAGAAGTTAGGCTAGCACAAATCCCATTTCCAAAATCAAAGAAGTCTAACAACAAATAATTCAGGTCGTTACTGCTGACTTACTATTTACACAATGCAAATGTTTCCTTTTCTGTAATGGCATGCAGCCATTTCCTATAGAGATAAAAGCAATTTATGTAATAGATACCATGAAAAATAAACTCATTTATTTTTATTTATTTTTTCATTCACCATTTGTTAGAATACTAAAAATATAAATGATAAATCTGTTATAAATCACCTTAGAAATACAATGTTTAAACACATACTCCTACAATACTGGTATCATTTATATAGATAATCATGAATGATCTGTTTCTTTTCTAAACCTCAACCTTTAATGTGTTTTACTGCTGCAAGAACAGGTGTGGCTGTGCAGCTCATGGCAGATTTATTGTTCATTAGTGATTTTGTACAATGCTTCTGCGGAGGTGTAAATAATCTGAACTGCCAAGATGGGTCTCCAGCCCACAATCAATACTGTGCTTCTGTCATAGGCTAATTGCAGCAGCTAAAAAGTCGCCACCTCACCATCAACAGTGTTATATTGGAGAGAATTTATTTTGGAGCTTTCTTTTAATTGATACAATAAATATTCCTTCTATAGTCTAAATAAAACATGTTTCAATAAAACTGGAGTATTATTCCTATGCTTCTCCTATTTGCTTAACTTGTTAAAAAAGGAAAAATGAAAAACAAACATGAAACCAACAGAATTTTAAAAAGTAATGAATTGTCCAAGTTATTTTAAATTAAGATTTATTTATTTTTATGTTTGAGTGTTTGCCTACACGTATGTTGTGTGTACATCACGTGAATGCTAGGAACCTGCAGAGGCAAGAGGCACTGGATGACCTGGAACTAGATATAATGGATATGAAATCTGATATGAGGTGCTGGGAATTGAGGCTCTGTCTTCAGCAAAGGCAGTAGTAATGTTAACTATGGAACTGATACTCTGGCTACTGAATTGTGCAAGTTCTATATTTTCTGTTAAAAGTTAAAATCATGATTTTGAAAATTTATTACTCTTATTTATTATGTTTAAGCTATTACTTAACAAACAACACCTTGGGTGCTAATATTAAACATCTACTTCCTAAAATACATATCTTATTCTGTTGTGAAGTCATTTTTATCTATGAAATACATTTAATTTTCCATATACAATTTAACAAGTATTTATGTTCCTCAATGGGTGATGTAGATAGCTTTTGATTGTTTTTACCTGTGGGACCATTATCATTCTTTGACAGAAACTGAAACGATATAGAATATATTTAAAAGCTACTATCTAGAGAGAATGCTTATTACCATATTCCAATAATCAGATGCTTACCCTGAAATGCAGGCTTGTTCATACTAGCCATGCGTGGGCAGTAATGCTGACCTGGGAAACCTTGAATGTGGACTTCCAGAGGAACTGGGCGAACTGATGGTCGGAAATTGAACAAACCCATCTGGTTAAACATAAAAAGAAACCAGTTACAGTTTTTACATTGAAGGATGCATTATAACTATATAATAAAGTTAAGCATAAACAACTGTTCCTGAGTAACTACTCTGTCACTCTTCCTCATACCTGCTTAATGTTGAGCCAGTCAGCAAGGTCTCTGGCATTAGCTAGTGCAGTGGACAATCCGACTATTCTAACAGGCTTCTCTGTGTGTGATGAGATAAAGTTTGTTCGAGATACAATAACTTCTAGCACTGGACCTCTCTCTTCCCCTAAGAATAAAGAATAATGAATATTATTTATTTGTTAATCCATGTTGGCTGTTGCAGGCACAAAGTCAGAACACAAAAATTTCTTTAAAAAGTGGGGGGAAGGAAACTACTGTATGAATAAGCAACCTTACATTTGCACAGACATTCAAAGGAATTGGGATCAGTATGTCAAAGAGTTATATGTACTTCTGCATCCATTATATTATTATCCACAATAACCAAATAATGGCTAAATGTCCACTTAGAGATGAATAAAGTAAATGCTGCAAACAACTGAATATTAAAAAACAATAAAAAAGAATGAAATCTTGGCATTTACATCAAAGATGAACCAGAAGACATTATGCTAAGAGAAACGACCATGGACTGAGAGACAAAATTGCATGATCTATGTGGAATCAAAACAAAAAAAATCACCTCAAGGAAAGAGTTTGCCAGGGTGTGGGAGTGGTTTGGTAGAGGATAGGAAACCTGAGATGTTGGAAAGGTACTTAGCTGCAGTTAGATAGAAGGAAAAAGTCCAAGGGATCTAATCAGTTATATAGTTAGTGACAAATATCTTAACACAATTTAATCGTTACACACTGCATATAAATAAAACATCTCATTATACATCAAGAATATATACAATTATTTGTCAATAAAATTACATTAATAGAAGAGTGTCAAGTTTTATAAAATTCTCTTTTTACTTGAGTTGTACCTACCAAGCAGATGGATCTCATCTATGATGAGGATGGTAACCTGCTGAACGTAGTTCCTGTTCTGCCAGCTTCGACTGACTCCATCCCACTTTTCTGGTGTAGTGACAATAAGGTCAGCCTGAGCAATGGATTTCATGTCTGGAGTCACATCCCCTGTCAATTCAATAACTCTGGAGAGAAACAAAATTGATCCCCAGTAAACATAACTTTGGACAGACTAAAAACTCTCTCTTTTGAAACAAAGTTTTACAGCAGTTAAAGCTGCTCAGTTCCCTTTCACCTGAAATGTTCTGAAATGTGAAAATTGCACGAATGCAGTAAGCCAAACAATAAAAACACATAAGCACATATAAATTCAAATCAATACAGGCAATCTACATGTATTTAAGTATTAAGCTTTGCTGAATTACACGTACAGCAATCTGTTATTTATTTTATAAAACTCATGATTATCTCCTTCTCTGCATAGTGAAACAGACAGACAGACCTATTATTCATTATCCCCCCCCTTTTCTTTTTTTGCTTTTTGAGATAGAATCTTATGCAGTTCATGTTAAAGCTGAACTTAGTATGTGGCCAAGGATGAACCAGCAATACTCTCTCTCTGCTACTTTTAAACCTATTTGGTTAGAAGGTTTTATTTTGTTAGGGCAGCAGCTAAGAGCAGAATTATTTACAAGCTTCACTTCATTTCTTAGACTGAAATTTTCTATAGTTAACATAGAAAACTTCAAACAAAGTGTGATATAAACAAGTTCAGGAAGGATAACTAAAGGCCACCTTTCTCAGAGGCTCTCAGCTTTATAGTGAAAAAGGAAGATATCCAGCAAAGCATAGAAGAGTTACAGAACACAAAGCCAAATCTGGAGGCAAATTCCACATTTTCAGTAATTACTCACAATTTGCATATGTAGATTCAGACTGAGGAAAGAGAACTATGGGAAAAGGTTTGGTCCTCTAATGATAACGTTCCCAGAGCATCTATTTACTTCTTTAATGTTTTCAGTTTTACATGCTACATATTATGTGGAATATGTAATCCATCCAGGGCTGAAGAAATTATAGTGAGCAGTCGCTAACAGTCCTAGATTCATTTGCTTCAGAGAAGAGGTAGGACAGTTTGCTTCTCTCTCTCTGTTTTTAACCCCAGTACGTCTAGAGTTCCCTTCAGTACATAGCAGCCAATCTTTTGTGGAGATATACAAAATTTTACATTTTGCACTTGTACCATTATTTACTTGGAAGTATATTATGGAACAATCAAGCTGTCTGCAGTCTTGCTGATAAACAATACTGTAATAAACAGTCATGTCAAACGTTAAAATATTAACACAAAATAACGTTTTTCAAAGATCTGTTTTTTTCATTGAGGAAGTTACATGAGAAATGTTTTTGAAGATAAAATGACAGTGTTCATATTAGGTATCTAAATGACTACATTTTATACTTAAAAAAAGAATTAGAATATTGATATAATTCTAGTAATGGTTGAGTTTTAAATAAAAATTATGAAAATCACTGAATACATCAAGTAGTTTTATGCAACTTCTAAATCTGGTAGTTTACTTATACTATTAAAAGCCTAATTTGAATCAAAGTAAGAACTTACTTTTTACCAAGTTTTTCTTCTATTCTAATTTTCCAATCATCCATCCTTTCCCGTACTAGAGCTTTTAGGGGTGCAATATACACTGCCTAAAAAGGGAACAGAGACAAAAGGACTCATGAAAATAATAGCATCTGCATATAAGAAATATAAATTTTGTCAAAATAAACAATGTGGATTTAAACAATGTTCCCTTTAACAATGAACACCACAATGTTAAATTAATAAAGGAAACACAATTAACTTTACTTATACAAAACAAGACAACTAGATACATCCTATCAAAAAAACAGAGACATATTTCTAAGGCATTTAAAAATCAGATATTTTATGATACTGCAGTCTAACATAATGCAAACAACTATGAAATAGTGCATTATTCAAGACTTTTTAATCATTGGAACTCCAATTTTCCTATATTTTGTATAGAATCTTCATGAAATACCTGAGAACATTCATTAATTTTGACATTTAGAAGAGAAATTAGCTGCTTAAGTTTAGTGCAAATCGATGCTTGCTATATATTTTAGCTGTTTTACTTTTTGAAAAATACTACAAACTTGTCTTTGATAATCTAAACAAAATACAAAGTATTATATGTCCCAATCTTCATTTCAACATTGTGAATTTAGTTCAGCTGTTCTAGTGTGCACTGTGTTCTTTATGGGTGAATAACCACCTAACAGATTAAAAACAGGAGAATAAAGCTATGCAATAAAGAAAAGGCACTTAATTGGAAAACCCTCCAAAAAGGAGGATTTAACCCTAAAGATTATACATACATAAACATACACATACACAGACACACACACACAGACAGACAGAAGACACACACACAGAACAGAACTGACAAGATCAGTGTCAAGAAATTTCCATATACTCCCTCTTTTTCAATTTTACTAGTTTTAGATTGCTGATTTCAGAGAAGCTGAGAAGAATACAGATCAGAGTGCAGAGCTAAGCCACTAAAGGCCAGGGAGTGGAGGCACACACCTTTAATCCCAGGTGACTCAGGAGAGAGAGGCAGAGAGATCTCTGTAGTTAAAGGCCACCCTGGGCTACACAAGATTCAATCTGTCTAAAAGAGAAACAAAGCTCACACAATGGTGATCTCAGCACTGGGGATCCCACACACTAGGGAGGTGGAGACAGGAATGATGTTGCTGGGTGAAGGGAAAAATATAAGGCAGAAGGAGACAGGAGCTCAGGACATTCTGAAGTTTAGTGGAGGCAGATGCAGGTAGGATATACAGTCTGAGAACTGGATCGCCCTTTGGTCTGCGCATTGGTAGAGGTAAAAGAACCCTCTGCTTCTCCGATCTTTAGCATTAACCCTTAGATCTGACTTGGTTTTTTATTACTAATAACAATTAAAATTCATGCTACAGTTATAAGGGACAGGAGTAAGGAAAAGGGAGATACTGCTCAAAGAATATGTTTCATTTATGCAGAATAAATAAATTCTGAGGACATTATGACAGTCTGGGAAGTAAAGTTCAAATTGCTATGCTAAATACTTGAAATTTCCTAAGACTAGATATTAAGTGTTCTTATCACAGAGCAACTATTTGAAAATATGGATATGTACATCATCTTGATGGCAGTAATCACTTCATAATGAATATGCACATTGGAACATCACATTGCATATCTCAATGACAAAGTTTATTAAAAATAAAGAAACACTGAAAGAAAATTAACAATATCATAGCATTCAGAACAATGTACTACCTCTTCTTATATCCTTTATATAGTCAAATTATTCTTAATACAGTAGTACTTCCATCATATCCGAAGTATTTGATTGTAGGTTGCTGTGTATTTATGAACATGGCTATAAATCAGGTATCTTTCCAATGAGTTGCAGGTATAACAAAGGAAATATTCAACTAAAGGGCTCCAAGTTCAAGGAAAATTATTATTATTATATTTTTGTCAAGGAAATTATTCTAACATTGATGTGTTCCCTTTGGAAACTTTCTGCCAGGAAATATTCTCTCTGGGTCCTGACAGTACATTTAAAACTTTCTAGTTCTGAGACTTAAAACTGTCTTTTTGGATTGACTGTCAACATATGACTCTTTGAACAGACCTTTGAAGTGGGATACTTGTTGAAGACTCTGAAAATGGCTAGTTCAGCTGCAACCGTCTTTCCTGATCCAGTGGGAGCTCCAAGCAGGACATTACAGTCCGTGTGATACAGGGTGTGGAATATCTGTGTCTGGACTGGGTTGAAGTGGCTGAAATTATATAGAGCTTCATATGCTTTGCACCCCAAAGCTGTGATTGGTAAAGGCTGAAGGTCCAACAATTCTGAAAAACACGAGTGGTACTACTATAAAATCACCAACAATTCTATGTACAGCACTGGACACTATATTTCAAATAATGAAAATAATCCTTAATTTTTTGTATAAAAATTTGAAAAAATAGCAATTACATCTTTATCTCCTTCACCACATCATAGGAACATACTGTATGCTCTTCTGCAAAGTTTCTATGAAGCAACTGGATCTTTCTCTACCAAGTAGAATAAAACTTGAATATCCAAGTTCAAGAGAGCTTTCATATTACAAAACAAAACTAGATCCGCCTTAATGCATAAAGAAAACAAAATACCACCTACAAACTTCAGTACAGTAACATTCACTCACAAATTTTGATCTGTTACACACTGGCCATGCAAAGCTGCTGAGCAAACTATTGCCACAGCTATGGGGAACTTAAGAAAATGGTAATGTAGAGAATAACTGGGAAGAATAAAATTTGCCCCAAGAAAACCTTCAAAGAAAGCAGATTCAGTCTTCCATCATAATGACTAGAGACTAAGGAATTAGAAATTAAAACTATTTAGAGAGGAAGTTTCACCTATCAATACATACCCCTACGAACCAAGACTTCACATACCTTTCACAAATCTATCAGTTAAAACACTGTGGTATTTCTGTCAAGACTAGTACACAGGTGAAGTTTAAGTTAGGTTGGTAGGCTGAATTTAAAAGTTCAGCAAGAGGACAGTACTCTGAATTAGATCTTTACTGTATGGTTTCAAAATGCAACATGTGATTTATTTTCTTATTAAAAGGTCTACTTAAAAGTCAAAAAGCTAATCCTTGCCTACTGCTTGGCTCTACCGCAAGGTTAGCCAAGAGCTGAGTATATGTTTTCTATGTCATTCAATTTTCTGAAAAACTCTAAATTAAGAAGGGAGAGAGGAAGAAACTCAACATTTGCTATGTCAAACAAGGCACAGATATGTTTTTACAATGAGTAGAAAATAATTATTGTGCATGATCAATGGGCAATTATTGTCAATGTCCATTGCAGATACTTCAGTGACTATACTTAATTGGTTTAAACTCAATGATGTGCTTATATGTATATCGAGCAAAATATATCCCGGGGTCACTATCAATTCAGTGTATTTGATAGTCAAATACACATTGACTATCAATTCAGATATCATGATGTTAAATTTTTGGTTTTGAAAATGTAGTCATAATAAGATATTACATACACAGATTGATGTCTGCTCAGTTGTTTAACTGTGAAATAACTGATCATTAAAATACAATGATAATATACTATAAAATAAAGCACTTTAGTTAAAGAAACACACTAATGTCAAAATGTACTTTAAAACACAAAACATTTCATATATCTTATTATAAAACTCTGGTTAGTATATAATGAAAGATGAAACAGAAATGTCAGAAAGTTCAACTTCTGTGAGCAGATTATGGTACTGATACTATCATATCTCTACCTTTTTGTTTTGACCAATCATTTTCTTTTGTCAAGAAATCAAAGAGCAACTGAGCTGCAGTATAAGGACACTCTTGAGGTAAACAACATAATGAATAAGGAATACGTTTGACCAAATGTCAACGATTAGTCATATTAAAGCCTTTTCTTTCATTTTCTACAGGACTGGGAAGTAGTGAGTAAATTAAAAAAATCATAATTAGTATTTAATTGTGAAAGTTTTCATCTTGAATAATTATAAAAAAAGAAAATTAAGACTTTTTAGTTGTCTATTAAATAAAAATCTCTGGAATTCAATAGTCCTCAATTATTTATTTTAAAAGATAAGGAAAAATAATTTAAAAGACTCAGAAAAATTTTGAAATAGATTTTATGAAGTACTTGAAATGATTATCATAAATATCCATTCATACATATTTCTAGCTTTTATAAACCAATATAAGAATGTATTAGTTCATCTTATGAAAATATAAAATAGAATTTTACAAAAGACAACAATGAGAAACCTTTCAGGATGTGTTGCCATTAGTTGCCATAAAGCTAAAATATGGGAGGGAGTTGATATTAAGGTTCCACGCTATTTGCAGTGCACAGTCACTGTGGGTATTTATAAATTCCCTCCAGAATAAAACAAAACAAACAAAATTCATGATGCCTTAGTATTAAAACATTTCAGATATTGAAGAACATCAATGGGACAAAGAAAAGTCCAGAATTAAAGAAATGATAATTTAGCATACATATCGTCATACCTGATCTGATAATACAAAAAATCTAAAACCGATGGAATAGTATCTCAGATGTTTCAAAGAACACATAGGAAGCACAGCTAAATAAGAAAGCAAGCACACATGAAGAAAGTATAGCTATATAAATGGAGAAAGCAGCAGAGTAGTTCCATCCTTACTAAGTCCATCAAAACTGGCCCACTTTAATGCTTTTTCAACTCAAAATTCATGGGACTATCTTAAACTTTGCCCAATATAAATACAAACAACTTTCTCTGAAAACTCTCTTTCTAAACTGTATTATCAAATATTTTGAAATTTCGTAAAGAATAACACAAGCAACAATACTTTTCAACATTAAACAAAACAGTCATTTTTGGGAAGGTAATGATTCAAATTAGTTAGCCACTTTACCTGTATGAGGAGGATGTCTCTCTGGTAGAATCAGATGTTGAAAGTTGATAATGCAAACGGCCTCAGCTCCTAGCCATCTATCAGATACTGCTCGAATGTAGTACTGAGAGGGCAACGGCTCAAAAATAGGGATTGTAAATACCAGAAGTTGAGGTTCTTTATTAATAACCTAGTGTGAAATAAAGCCTCAAGTAAATACGTCTTCTACTGTAGGCTGTTGTTATGAAAGCACTACCTACACAAGATACACTGACAATAAAGCACACTGGATTATAAGAAGCCGAGATGCTTAGGTAATTCAGCATTTTTTTTCTGTGATTCCTTTAAGAACCTGATGTACTCTTAGGTGAGGTTTATATTTATTGTGTGCTATTTAATATGCATTGATAGGTATCACTTTGATTTGTTTATCAGAATTATGCAAACATTATTCACTCAGTTATTTAACTTCATTTGTAAAATTCTAACTGCTATACTAATATTTACATAATGTTTAAGTTCTATGAGTACCACAGAGAAATACCACAATTGCATATCATAAATGTTTAATATAAAAGCAACTTCAACAAAAACAAATCTGAGGCCCTTACAAGATTGATCAGCTTAAGCTACCCTTTTCTCTTTGATAAAAAGTGAAACTACAAGCAAAGTATCAACTACATCGCAAGAACTAAGCTTTTAAAAAATTGTTTCAATTACTTTTTGAGATTATAATATAATTAACATCATTTACCCCTCTTCTTTTCCCCTTCAAACCTTCCCATGTACTCCTTGTTTTCTTTCAAGTTCATGACCTCTTTTCTCATCAGTTGTTGTGACATGCATGTGTAAAATGTTCCTAAATACATAAGTTATGACCTGCTCAGTCTTCATAATACTACTTGTATTTATTTTTCATGGCGGAACTAAGTCTTTTATTGGCAATTTATAAAGAATTTTCACTAGGTGTGTCAATCTTCTTCCTATATTGTACGCATATAACACCTAATTATTACTTATTTCATCTACATTACATATTTCACAACCCTGGAAGCTATGACTTACTTAACACATGACCAAAATTGTAAGTAAAGTTCTCAATCATCATGATGATTTACCAAAAGCATACATTTACTGTCTTCCTTTAAAAGAGGCAGAAATAATAATAAATAAAGCCTTAATGGAATATCATTAAGAAAGAAAATAATAGTAGAAATTGTTAGTTTATATTTTCTCTTCATGGCAGTAAAATAGGGAAAAGTCAGAGAAATATGTATTTACCTGTTTTTTAAGAGCTAAAAAGTACTCTGAATGATAAATATGGTCATTTGTAGGATCTTCTACCCAAATCCACCAGGGTTCCCCAACTGTCCCATGGACCTAGAAAAGTAGTATTTACAGATTAAGACAGGCTGTTTATATACTCCACAGCTATTCCTCTCTTCAGCAACTTCGTTATTATAGAGGACATTTGTTTACTTATTTACCATATGAAAGGCAACTTAACATATTTACAAAGCTGCACAACTATAGCCACAATCTAATTTTAGAACATTTCATCACCTCCAGAAAAAAAATGTATTTATAAGCTATAGCTATTCACTATAGATTGCCATTCTGAATATTTTGTATAAATGGAATTGTACTCTGTGGACTTTTATGACTGGCTTTTTAATCTGATTCATTATGCATCAGTACTTCACTCCAAATTATTGTCAGTTAATATTTCACTGGATTAATAAACCATATTTTGTTCATCCATTTCAGGCTGCTCCTTTCTCCTTACAGGCACCATGTTCATTTCTTATCTAAGTGGCCACATCACCTGGGACAAAGCTGATTTTCATAAGATAGACAGTTCGTGGAATTATTCTGACAGCAGGTAAAGGAGAAACAGACAAGAAATTTTGAGCTAAATCTGTGCTCTAGGCTGAGGGTGTAGGGATATATTTCCTTGCTCAAATTAAATAATTAAATTTGAAAAAGGAAATCTGAAACTTTTGTTAAGAACTCAACAATGTCAGCAAAGTAGGGCTGAATAAAAATATCTGGACCTTGAATGGTGTGGTTAACTAGAAGCCTGAAATATTCTGAGGCATGTAGAACACCTGTGGACCTTTGTTGCACAGGAAAATACACTATCTTCCTTCCTTCAGATGGAGGCAAGTTCAGTTCTCCAATTTAAGACCATAACATTCTACCTGAGAGTGTTATCTGGAGGGTTATTATGGATTTTAGTAGAAGATAACTGAGACAGTAAAATTTCATTCATTTCACAAACAGGCCTAAAATTTAAAATTTCAAACATGATTTTTAACAGCTAGCTATATAAATACATATATTTTAAATATACATAACTATTTAAATATATATTATATTTTAAATATAACTAAATAGAAAATACTTATATTTTGTATAAAATTCTTTCTTTAGAGAAATATTAAAGTAAATTTACATTATCACCACTTGTTCCTCAGAGAAATTCTGAGAACATTATAATAGTTTATTATTAGTATTTTTAGATTAGGAAATTATAAGACTCAGAAGTCTGAGCATTTTAAAGCAATTGCAAATGGGATCAGCAGCATATCTAGGTGGTGCTACAAAACATGGCTGAATAAAATATAAAAGTAACTCTAATAGGAACTATGTGGGGTAAGCACAGGTAGACAGTAGACTACAACTACTGAGTGACTTTCCTTCCCTAGGGGCCTCTTCCCAGCAGGGAGATTCTGACTTACTTGTATAGATACAATTTCTAACACATAAATTAGTTCAAGGAATGCTGATTGAATAGCAAGGTGATTCAGAGTAGATCTTTATGTATGAGTTTACCCTTAATATGCCTTGAAAGACTCTTTAGTAACCCAGGCTGGCCTGAACCTCATGGTGCTGAGCTCCTTCCTGGTGCTGGGACTGCAGGATATACCAGCACACCTGTTTCATGTGGCCACAGCGATGGCATTCAGAACAACAAATACCACCAATCGTGCTACAGCTTCAACTTTACTGTTAGAAATCAATACAGATGGTTTTCAAAGCAGGAAATAACGAATGAAGATAAAAACTGAAGTAACCATGACAGGAACCAAGGAAAGTCATTTTGAAAAAGAGTTATGTATATAAATACTACATATTCAGAGACATAGAAGAGAAAAAAAAAACTATTAATTATAGCCAATGCTAGACTTTGATACTAGGAAAAAGAATCTATCAAATGGGTAACATGGAAGAAAATGTAGAGTATTCTTCCAACATTTTCTTAAAAATAAGAAGAACTACTACTACAACGCTGTCAATGAAGACCAGATATATATATAATCTGTGCCTTTGGGATAGATATAAGGTTTGGAGAACTTGCAGTACAGACACCTAGATATAACATGAATTTAGATGTTTCCAGCTCTACCTGATCATTCCAAGAGAAATCCGGGTGGATATTCAGAGAAACTCGAAGGACAGTCCGCGTGATGGGCTGAATGGAAGCTTCCATCGTAACAGAAGGAATCTGATGAACACACTGTTTAACCTTCAGTCCAATATTCACATGATGCAAAATGTGACCTGAAAGGAAAGCATCACATAGAAAAGAATGTGCCCCACATAATCTGACTTGTAAATGAGATTTCAGAGATGGTGATTTTATTGCCTGCTTTATGATTTGTTATGTAAAATAGCTGACATTCTTGACCTGACATGTTTGAATATTTTGTAATAGTTAACTTGAATTAGCAATTCATAGCTTAGAAAACCAGTATCAGGGTTTATTTAGATATTAATAGGTTCTGAAAATTGCTGAGCTATTTGAAAAAGTATAAAGAGACCCACTTCTTTCTCACTTAGTTTATAACATAGTATGGAGTTATGAAGTACTTTGTGAAAATAGTCATTAATTTATTCACAGTCTTTATCAGAACTTTACACAACTAAGGAAATATTTTAGGAAAATAAAACGATTCATTCTTCCATATACTATTCTAGAAAACAAAATCAAAATATAAATTGCAGTCTATCAGAACTACTTATGCTTATTTTCATAAATAAGCAGATTCTACAATAAAGATATGAATGGAAGTCAGATATTATTACAAAATAAATATAACTATACAAATGTGACTAACTAGTTTAAGCAAGTAGAACTAAATTACATTTTTTATAATCAAGATTACTTTTATCTTAACTCTTCCATAGAGATTTTTTTGAAGGGCACACATTTATATGTCAATATGTTTCAACTTGATCAAATTGGAAATTAAAGTTGATGGCTTTTATTTAAAAATACATCTTTTGACAGATTGCAACTGCAGAGTGGACCAATAGGTGAGTGACCAGCACTCCAGCAGTACCATCCAGTCTCTAGGCCCTAGGACCCTGGGGCAAACCCCAGGCCCCTCCACACACCCTCCTCAGTAGTACTAAGTCAGCCAGCAAAAAAGCCTCCTGCTGATAGGCTGTTCCATTATTGGACCCTGTAATTTACAAGTTCTACTCTACCACCAAGTTTACTCCCCCTCCCCCCCTCGCCCGAGCTCAGTGGCTCTTTGAGGCACAGACTGCTCTAAGAGGTGGGTGACCAGCTACCCAGATGGATAGCCCAATCTCAAAGCACTAGGCCACAGGGCAAAAACCAGGCCCTTCCCCCACCTGCTTCAGCTTCACTAGCTGGCAAGCAGGAAAGCCTCCTGCTGATAGGCTGCTCCAACACCCTCCCCCGCCCACAGAAAACCCTGTAAACTATAAATTCCATTCTACCACCAAATTTCCCCATCCCTTGAGACCTGAGTGGCTCTCTGAGGCCAGACTGCTACTGCACACAGTGGACCAAGACTAGTTCCCCCCCCCCCCCCCCCCCCCCCCCCCCCCCCCCCCCCCCACCCCCCCCCCCCCCCCCACCAAGACCTAGGCCCTAGGGCAAAACCCCTCCTCCACCTGCCTTAACTGCACAGGGCAGCCATCTGTAAGAAAGAAGGCAGGCTATTCCAACAGCCCTCCCTCACATTTAATGGACCTGTAATCAACAAATCCCACTCCACTGCAAACCCACCCATGCCCTGAGAACTCAACATTTTCCTGAGGCACAGACAGCAACTGCAATGATCAGTCCAAGAAAGGATCCCTGAGACATGGTCATCAACCACAAGGATTGGATCAAGAGGCAAAGACATTGCCTGCACCAATTGGAGGAAGAGATAGGTAGGTGCCAATGCAAGAATATATTCAAGAATGTACAAGAACATGACAACACCAGAACCCAATGATCTAAACATTCAAATCCAGAAGCAGCAGAAGAAAATGACCTTAAATACAACTTTATGAAGATGATAGAGACCCTTAAAGAAGTAATAAAAAATCCCCTTAAAGAAATGGACAGCCCAGTCTCTAGGCACTAGGCCCCAAGACAAACAGAAAATTGGAAGAAATCAATAAATCTCTTAAAGAAAGTCAAGAGAAAACAACCAACCAGGTGAAGCAAACAGTTAAAACAGTTCAAGACTTGGAAACTGAAATAGAGACAATAAAGAAAATACAAACTGAGGAATTCTGGAAATGGAAAACCTAGGTAAATGAACGGGAACTACAGATGCAAACCCAACCAACAGAATATATGAGATGGAAGAGAAAATACAATATAGGAACTAGATTAATTGGCTAAAGAAAATGTTAAATCCAACAAATTCTTAACACAGAACATCAAGGAAATCTGGGACATTATAAAAAGCCAAACCCAAGAATTATAGGGATAGAAGAAGTAGTCCAGCTTGAAGACACAGAAAAGGTATTCAATAAAGTCATAGAGGAAAACTTTCCCAACCTAAAGAATATGCCTATGAAGGTACAAGAAGCTTATAGAATACCAAACAGACTGGACCAAAAGAAGAAAAAAAGTTCCCCTGTGGCATATTATAATCAAAACAGTAAAAACACAAAATAAAGAAAGAGTATTAAGAACTGCAAAGGAAAAAGGCCAAGGAAGATGTAAAGACAGACCAATCAGAATTACACATTACTTCTCAATGGAAACATGAAGGTCCTAGACATATGTGCTGCAGACATTAAGAGACCAAGGATTCCCAACAAAGCTTCAATCACCACAGGCATAGAAAAAGATATTCCATGACAAAAAACAGATTTAAACAATATCTATCCACAAACCAAGTCTTATAGAAAGTACTAGAAGGAAAACTCCAACCCAAGGAAGTTAGCTGCATCCACAAAAACACAGGCAACAAATAACATCATACCAGCAAACCCCAAAGAAGGGAAACACACAAACACTACCACCGAAAAATAACAGGAATCAGTAATCACTGGTCATTATTCTTAATATCAATGGACTCAATTTACCTATAAAAATACACAGGCTAACAGAATGGATATAAAAACAGGATCCAATCTTCAGCTGTATATTCACCCAGGAATAGTAGATGACAGGAAATGATTAAATTGAAGGCTGAAACCAATAAAATAGAAACAAAGAAAATGAATCAATGAAACAAAGAGCTGTTTTTTTGAGAAAATTAAGATAGACAAACCCTTATTCAAACTAATCAAAAGGGGGGACATAACAGGCACTTAAGAAATCCAGAAAATCATTAGGTAATACTTAGAAAACCTATACACGACAAAATGGGAAAATCTAAAAGAAAAGGACAATTTTCTAGAAAGGTAACAAATGCCAAAATTAAATCAAGACCAGATGAACAATTTAAATAGACCCATAACCCCTAAGGAAATATAAGCGAAATAAAGCCCAGGGTGAGGTGATTTCAGCACAGAATTCTACCAGAATTTCAAAGAAGAGCTAATACCAATATTCCTCAAATTGTTACACACAATAGAGAAAGAAAGATCATTACCAAACTCTTTTTATGAGGCTTTAGTTCCCATGATACCCACACCACACAAAGAAACAACTAATAAAGAGAATTACATACCAATCTCTCTCATGAACATTGATGCAAAAAATACTCAGTAAAACATGGGCAAACCAAATCTAAGAACACATCAAAAAAATAATCTAACATAATCAAAGTTGGTGTCATTCCAGAGATACAGGGATGGTTCAACATACAAAAATCTATCAATATAATCCACAAAATAAATAAGGTGAAAGAAAAAAGATATATCATCATCTCATTAGATGCTGAAAAAGCATTAAACAAAATCCTATAGGCCTTCATGATAAATGTCTTGGGAGATCAGGTACACAAGGAATGTATCTAAACATAATAAAAGCTATATAAAGGAAGTTATCAGATAGCATCAAATTAAATGGAGAGAAACTCAAATAGATTCTACTAAAATCAGGAACAAGGCAAGGCTGTCCACTCTCTCCATATCTATTCAACATAGGACTTGATGGTCTTGGTAGAGCAATAAGACACCAAAAGTAAATCAAGAGGATACAAATTTTAAGGAAGAAGTCAAATTTTCACTATTTGCAGAGGATAATAGTAATAAGTAATCCCAAAAATTCTACGAGAGAAGTCGTATAGCGGATATACACCTTCAGCAATGTGACAGGATACAAGATCAAGTAAAAAACAAAATCAGTAGCCCTCCTATAAACAGAGAAAGAAAGCAGGGCTGTGGTGGCACATGCTGTTAATCCCAGCCCTCAGAGGCACAGGCAGGTGGATCTCTGTGAGTTCAAGGCCAGCCTAGTCTACAAGAGGTAGTTCCAGGACAGGCACCAAAGCTACAGAGAAATACAGAGAAATCTTGTCTCAAAAAACTGAGAGAGAGAGAGAGAGAGAGAGAGAGAGAGACAGAGACAGAGACAGAGACAGAGACAGAGAGACAGAGAGAAATCAGAGAAAATCACCCATTACAATAGCCACAAATAACATAAAATATCTTGGGGTAACACTAACCAGAGATGTGAGAGGCCTTTACTTCAAGAACTTTAAGTCTTTGAAGAAAAAATAATTGAAGAAGATATTAGAAAATGGAAAGATCTTTCATGATCTTGGATAGGCAGGATCAACATAATAAAAATGGCAATCCCACCAAAAATAATCTATAGATTGAATGTAATCCCCATCAAAATCGCAGCACAATTCTTCATAGACCCTGCAAGAACAATACTCATCTTCAAATGGAAAAGAAAAAAAAAAAAACGGATACCCAACAGTCCTATACAATAAAGAAATTTAAGTACACATCACCCTTGACATCTAGCTCTATTATAGAGCTACAGTAATAAAAACGGCTTGGTACTGGCATAAAAACAGACAGATGGACCAATGGAATCTAATAAAAGACCCTGATATTAATCCCCAAACCAATGAATACCCTATTTTTAACAAAGAAGCTAAAATTATACAACGGAAAAAAGAAAGCATCTTCAGTAAAAGGTGCTAGCATAATCGGATATCAACATATAGAAGAATATATAGATTCATATCTATCCCCATGTACAAAACTCAAGTCCAAATGGATGTAAGACCTCAAAATAAGTCCAGTCACACTGAACCTCAGAGAAGAGAAAGTGGAAAGTAGCTTTGAACGCTTAGCATAGGAGACCACTTCCTAAATATAACACCAGTAGCAGTCACTGAGAGCAACAATAAATAAATGGGACCTTCTGAAACTGAGCAGGTCAACAAGACAAAACAGTAGCCTACAGAATGGGAAAAGATCTTCACCAACTCCACATCAGATAGAGGACCGATAACCAAAATATATAAGGAACTCAAGAAACTAAACATCAAAATACCAAATAATCAAATTAAAAAATGGGGTATAGATTTAAACAGAGAATTCTCAACAAAAAAAAATATCAAATGGTTGAAAGACACTTAAGGAAATTTTCACCTTAAATCCTTAGCCATCAGGGAAACGCAAATCAAAACAACTCTGGGATACTGTCTTACACCAGTTAGAATAGCAAAAACACGAATGGTAAGCTTATGCTGGAGAGGATGAGGACCATGAAGAACACTCCACCATTGCTGCTGGGAGTGTAAACTTACACAGCCACTTTGGAAATCACCGTGGTGGTTTCTCAGAAAATTAGGAATCAACCTACCTCAAGAACTGGCAATATCACTCTTGGCCATATACCCAAAGAATGCACACTCATACCACAAGGACATTTGTTCAACTATGTTCATAGCAGTATTATTCGTAATAGCCAGAAACTGGAAAAAACTTAGATGCCCCTCAACCGAAGAATGGATAAAGAAAATGTGGTACATTTATACAATGGAATACTGTTCAGCAGTAAAAAACAATGACATCTTGAAGTTTGTATGTAAATGGATGGAACTAGAAAAATCATCCTGAGTGAGGTAAGCCAGACTAAGTAAAACAAATATGGTATGTATGCACTCATAAGTGGATATCAGATGTGAAACAAAGAATACTCATCAGCCTATAGCCCATGACCCCAGAGAAGCTATGTAACAAGGAGAACCCTAAGAAAATTATATTTGGATCTCCCTGGGACGGGGAAATAGACAAAATCTCCTGATAAAGTTTGGAGTATGGTGTAGGAGAACAGGAGGAGAACATGAGGCAATGGGATGGTTGAGATGGGGGAAGGCAGAGAGGGAGAGCAAGAAAAGAGGTATCTTAAATGAGGGAGCCATTATGTGGCTAGCAAGAAACCTGGCACTAGGGAAATTTACAGGAATCCACAAGGATGACCCCAGCGAAGACTCCTAGCAACAGTAGAGAGTGTGCCTTACTGGCCTTCCCCTGTAATCATATTGATGACTACCTTAATTGTCATCATAGAACCTTCATCCAGCAACTGATGGAATCCGATGCAGAGATGCACAGTGAAGCACTGTGTTGAGCTCCTAAAGACCAGTCATAAAGAGGGAGGAGCAATAATATGAGCAAAGGAGTCAAGACCATGATGGGGGATATCCACTGAAACAGCCAGCTTACCTGAACTAATGGGAACTCACTGACTCTGGATTGATTGTGGAGGAACCAGCATAGGACCACACTAGACCCTCTGAATATGGGCGCCAGTTGCATGGCTGGCACAGTCTGTGGGGCCACTGGCAGTGTGACCATGATTTTTTACTACTGCTTGTACTTGCTCTTTGGAGTCCATTCTCTTTGGAGGGATACCTTAGGGCTCAGCCTAGATACAGGGGAGAGGGCCTTGGTCCTGCTTCAATGTGATGTGCCAGACTGTGTTGACTACCCTTGGTAGTCTTACCCTCTTTGAGGAGTGGATGGGGGGTGGGGTATGGGAAAGGTGGAGGGAGCAGGAGAAAGGGAGCGAGTGGGAACTGGAACAGGTATGTAAAATGATAAAAGTTTGTTTAAAAATAAATTTAAATAAAAAATACACATCTACTATATATTCTCAAGTTCTCTTCTTAACAATCACAATTTCTTTCTACTGATGCTCTTCTTTTATTATTCTATAAAAGTATCCTTCAAATCTAAATATAATATTAATGTTCTTAGCCTCTCAATAATATTGGGAGACTGACAATGGCAACCCTTGTGTTCTGAGCCTGCCTTTCTGCAGGAGCAGTATCCATCCTATTCAGGAGCAAAGTATTTCCTAGTTATATTACAGGTTTTACAATACAATGTTAAATTTCACAGAAATATTTGTAGCAAGGACTTCTCAACATTATGTGGGAAAAAAACTCGGAAATTCTATGTACAGACTGATATCAACTGTGTTTAAATATACAGATGTTTGTGATTAAAGGTTAACTGTGGTGAACTGTAAAGCTTCATGTCCACAAATTCTTATTTATTGTACTTCGGTAGTGCATGGGAGTCCTGACAGACTAGTGTTCCACTATTTGGATATATCTCCACTCACCACACAATTTTAAAATGTAAAATTGCTGATATACATGACAAAAGTTACTCAATTAAACATTGAATTTAATTGTGAATGAACATCATCTAATGAGTCTCATCATTTATGGTTAAGAGTCTATGTATAAAATAATCAAAAGTTTGCTAATCTAAGTATTTTAATTGCTAATTCAGTTAAGTGATAAATTTGGAAAGATTTTTTTATTTAGCTTAGATGAGCAAGAATGATTTCATAAATACCATAAAATGTCTTCATTTGAAAATACAGCATATTTATACATTAATCAAGATATATTATATACAATGGTAAACAGATGTAAAGATTTTTGCTTCCTTCTTACCTATTTCATCCTTTCTCATGTCTTTGAGCTTATCCACAGTAAGTTTTTTTTCTTCTAATCTTGTCAGAATGTGTGGTGGTAGCACAGAGAACTGCCTCAATGGGCTAGCCCAACCCCAGAGTCTCTTGTCGATGACTTTACTCAGGTTCAGAAGCTTGTAGGTCATAGCAGGCCAACGTTTCCTCAGTGCAATTTCAAAGAGAGCACGGACAATTCTAGCCGCATTCTGAGGAACAAAAGGAGAAGACTGGTAGTTAGATAACAATGTGCTTTTAAATGTCAGTAAATTTATTACTCCAACTAGACTCAGAAGAATGACAAATCAAGCTACGTACTTAAATTATGTGCAGCAACTTTCTTTATACAACCTTAATTATCATCAGGTAGTATAAGAGTAGCCCTACTACTATTGAGTACATGTTATCTATTAAACTTACAGAGGGCAAAGTATTTCTATATTCCTTAGACCTTCTAAGCATAAGTGAAATAGGTAGACAAAAGGCAAACAAGGTAGCAGACAGACTGTTCAAGTGCCTAGAGTATAAGAAAGAGGCTGAAATGTCCCTAAGTATATCATGCACTGATTAAGTGTATGAGAAATTTAAGCGAGAATTTATAAAGATTTTCATTTCAGTCAGGAGAGAAATTAATGAGGGAAGGGTGACAAAGGAAATACAGCTTAGTGCAGTGCAGTGACCAATACTAAATGGTCACTACAATGGTTCCCTAAAAATCAAACAGTATAACTAGCTTTACGAATAGAACACTCTACAAACAGATCTGTGGAATTATTTTATGGCCAGACTGGTTTACACAGCAATTTTCAGGTAAGCTAGAGCTGCAGAGTGAGATCATGTCTCATCTCAATGTGTGTGTGTGTATGTATGTATGTATGTATGTATGTATGTATGTATGTATGTTTGTTTGTTGGTTGTTTGAGTGAGAGAGAGTGTGAGATATAGATTTAGTTTCAATTTTTATCACTTTAAAGGAAACATTACTAAAAATATAAATGTATACATAAGACAAAAAGAACATATTCTGTTTTATAAGCTATGTCTTTCTGAAAGGCAAATAGCAAATGCACAAAATAAGGTATTTTACTTTATTTCATTTCTACCAGAATTCAAAAAGTTATGAAGTAAGTGATTTGTAGTTTAGGGAATAGTTGCCTTTCAGCTTTCAATTGTACCACTGGTAGAAAAGATCATGGTTTTTCTTTTTTGAGTATGTTTGTTTTTGTTTTAAACGAGACAGGGTCTCACTATATAATCTTGGCTGACCGTGAACTCACAGAGACCCACCTAAGTTGTGTGCTATCAAACAGGTCAAGATTACTTATTTTAGATATTTTAGATATTTACACAGACCTAACAAAATGTACATATGAAATGAGATACATTTATTAATTCACACTTAAGAGTAAATTAGTTATAGCAAAATGGAATTCCAGTCTTGACCCATGAGAACAGATTATACACACGATGTACAAATGATTGGAAACAGGTTTAAGATAAAATGGCAGTTGGCAGCATTCTCAGTATCTCATGGACTAATTTAGTAGTCTTCAAAGATCAGCAAAAATGGGAAAGGATTAAGAGTCTTACCTGGGCAACGTAGGCAGAATCTGATATGAGGGAGAAACTGTCCATCTCTCCTCGGCTAATGTAGGTCTGAAGCAAGATGTTTATTTTCCCATAACTATTTTCCACACCTCCAGGAGCTGAGAGTTCACAGAAATTGTTTAACAAGGCGTCTAGCTCCTCTACTTCCTCTTCTCTGACCTAGAAGAGGTAACGTTTTTATATTAACACTTTGACTGAATTAAGGAAAATTCTCTTGTTCAAATTAAACTGTATGTTTGTACAAGCTTCCACTTTATATGATAACATTCTCCTTCTGTAGTACTGAAATCATTATTTTTCCCACAGGTAGTTGTAAAATACAATATGAAACCATTTTGAAGACGACAGTTGTATTTTAATTCATAACTAATACTAAAGTTTCCAATGACATAAAAATTTACTATGCCATAAAAACTAAATCATCTGACCTCACTATCCTTCAATTGATGAGATTTCATTTTTTTATTTGATCAGAGTTAAACCTCTGCCCAACTGGATTAGGGCGTACTTGATTATCTTCAAATGCATTCATTAGAGTTACATATTTTTATAAGGTATAATACATTCATACATTAAAGCTGTGAAGTACTGTTTCTTATTTCAGAATACTAAAGTTTTTACTGTTAATGAGATTAAATCACAATATGAATAGTACAGAAATATTCAAATCTAAGTCTGAATCATGTACTTATTTTGTATTCTGTTCAATGAACTTTACCTTTTAGTAGTCCAAAGCCTACCCACTTACATTATTTAATAGTTTTTCTCTCTTGTCTATCCCAACACCTTCTGTGAGACAGGGTTTCATTGTGTAACTAACTCTTGGCCTAGAACTTGCTATGTAGACTAGGCTAGCTTCAGACTTACAGAGATCCTCTGTCTTCCAAATGGAGCAACTAAAGGGCATACCACTACTCCAGCTTTATTTGATAGTTCCAATACTACAATATCTACAAAATTACTGATTTGGAGCAAAAGCAAAAGATGATATAATTTTAGGAAAGTGGATATTGTTGAGATGTTGATGCTCCAAATTCATATGTGTGAGAAATTGTAATTAACTATAAGTTTTGATAAAAGAATTGATATATATATTTATGTCATATACATTTAATTCAAACATCAAGTAATCTTACCTTAATTTGATCAAATTCTTCAGCTTTGGAGACAATAGCAAAGATATCACCTTCTGTTTTGTGTGCATCAAAAAGTTCATTAAATGTCTGTCAAAATAAATATTATATTTGATTAAAATTAGAAGTCCAATGAAGTGTTGTTAAGTTACACATCTTACTCTAAATATGCACACTTAAGAGAAATGGAGCCCTAGAGCATACAGCTATCTCTTGTATTCCAAATTCTCACTCTATAGAAATCATCAAAGCGAGAAGATCTGTAAGAGCAAAATGATACATAAAACCATTATTAACCAAAATATACAATAAATGCCTAAAAAACTTTTATCAAAACATTTTGGCCAGGGTATATAGAAATCTTATTTGGATCATTCACTGACACTAAATAAATATATATCATGTAAAATTCAGAGAAATTAATATAAAGCAGAAATATGGTGATTTTCATCATACTGATATTATCAATGAAACTGGGATGAAGAAAAGAAGTCAAAGGTTATGTACAATGAAGACAGAGAATGAAAGAACTGCAAATGGATTTAAGACTTGGCTTTGACTGGGCTGACCCAAGGAGTTGACTATGGACCAACAAGAGAGCCTGCATGGGACAGGCCTAGGCTCTAGAGCTGCATATGTGAGAAGCTGTTCTGGCTTGGTCTACTTGTGGGAGTCAGGCCTTGGGAGTCAGGCCTGTCCCTAAGAGTTTGGTTGGCTTTAGGGAACTTGTTCCTAATGTTGGTTGCCTTGCCTGGCTTTAATACAAGAATAGGAGCGTAGTCCTACCTAAACTAGATAGGCCATGCTCTGTTGACATGCATGGGAGGACTGCCCCTTTCGGAACAGAGGTGGAAAGGGGGTGGAAGAGATAGGGGGAGTAAATGGGAGGAAGGGGTAAGAGAAAGCTGTTGTTGGGATGTAAAATAAATGAAAAATTTAAGTAATAATAATAAAAAAGACTATGTAGCATATGCCGACGAGTGGACAAGCAAGGAAGGTTGTGCAATAGAGAAAGAGAGCAGACAGTTAGTGGGTGATGGAAGGAGTAAAATGCTGGGTATTGTGTAAAAGAATCCCTAATTGTAAGTTGTAAGATAATATATGTCAGCTGGGTGGTGGTGGCGCACGCTTTTAATCCCAGCACTTGGGAGGCAGAGGTAGGCAGATTTCTAGGTCGAGGCTAGTCTGGTCTACAGGAGCTAGTTCCAGGATAGACTCCAAAGCAACTCAGAGAAACCCTGTCTCAGAAAAAAAAA